TGGGGGAGGTGGGGGAGGGACATGGGGGGTCTGGTGCTGCGTCCTCACGCCAGTGAAACTTTGCCAGTGGCAGTTCGAGCGCCTGCTGTCAGCCCGGCCTCCGGTGGGGAGCTCTGGCAATGGTGGGGCATCGTCTTTGGGTCAGTTGCGTGCGAGGAGGTCACAGTTTCACAGACCTTTTCCCGCCGTGCGGGCAGTTGCATTGGGAAGCTGAGGCCGTGGCGATCAGCTGGAGGAGGAGCTGGATGAACTGTCTGTGCAGACCCAGGTGCAGCCCTCTCCTCGCTCTAAAGCTGCCTGGGTGCTCTGCAAGCTCTCAGATATCCATGTCATGGTTGCTTTGGGTGTCCTATCCCCCTGCACGGAGGCAATTACCGTGCTGACCCCGAGTCCTAATCACAGGAGCACAGGCAGAGCTGTGGCCGGCACTGGAACAACCCCACTGTGAATCAGAGGGACAATATTCTGCCTTTACCGGCACAGAAGCAAACAGCACTCGCTGCTCCAAGGTAGTGCTTGTGCTGCTCACGGACTGGCTTTGGCACACATTATCCATGAAAAGGAATTACTGATATAAGCTGTGTCATGTTTTGCAGAACTCTTTCTGCTTGAGTTTTTTTTTAATCTGTGATTAAACACGGGCAATGATTTGGTATTGAGCCAGAAAGGCACTAAGTGTGATCTGGCAGAGTTTAAGATGTTTCCTGATCTCTCTCAGATCCTGGAGAGTATCCCTAAGTGGTACAGTGCTAGCAGAAAATAGACTTAGGGTATTTAGAAGCAGCAGTGACAGTGGTTCTGTCGTACCTGAACAACACAGCTACGTTACTTCTGCTGTACCATTTTTAAGGGAAAATCTCCATGTTTTAAAAATCAAGTGCGTGAAATTCCCCAGACTCTACAGTCACCACAATGCTCAAAAGCCAAATATTGCGAGAGCTTCCTGAGAAGGAATGTTTCTTTTTGCTTTGGTCTGACCTCAGGTAGACGGGAACTGGGGAACAGAAATGTCTCCAGACACTTCTGGCCTTTCACATTTCTCTCATATTAAAAATATATTGGCAGTGGTAAATAGGACATTAGTTTACAACATGGTTTTAAGTTGGTGGTATGAAAAATACTGCAACTGCAGCCAGACGAGACAGTAATACAACAGTTCAGACCCTTTTTATTCTCTGGCAAGTCAAATACTTGGACAGTACGTAATTTTTTCCCCCCCAAATTAAGGGTATTTGGGGCACTAGCAGGTAAAGCTGTTCCTGCTGGTGGCGCAGCAGGAGGGTACAGTGACAGCTGGTACCGCTGCAGGAGGGAATACACGTGGGCCACTGGCAAGGGTTGGTCAGCGCCCCAGAGGGAACAGCTCCATTCCTGTTTGCAGTAGCTCAGGCATGGGGCACCATGGCCAGTCTCCTTCGGAGACAGGCGGTGTCAGTTTAACTTAGGCCGAAGAGGTGGCGTTGGATTGCGGTGCTCAGGCAACCATCGGCCGGTGGCATCAGATGTTTTCTGCTGCGTGTCTGTTACCTGTCAGGCTTCAGCCTTTATATAATTCTTGTGTTTTTCTTTATCTCAGGATTGGCATGAGAGGACGAGAGCTGATGGGAGGAGTTGGCAAAACAATGATGCAAAGTGGTGGGACGTTTGGGACATTCATGGCAATCGGGATGGGAATCCGCTGCTAACGTGGAGCTTGGAGCGCCCCCGTCCAGCCACCCCTCCTCTGTACCTAATAAAATCTTTAGATACCTGGAAGTGAGAGCTCTTCATGAAATGGTGAAGCACATCCTCCTCACGCTGCTGATTGTAAACATGCTTTTTACCAAATTTCTACTTTCCTCCTGTGACAATGAGAATTAATAATCCTTTGTACTACATTAAAGTTCCTATTTCACAGGCCTAAGTGCAACGCTCACATTTCTCCCCGTGGTGCTTGGGCAGCTTCCCGTCCCGATGCATTGATGCGGATCTGCTCTGTTGCATTCCTGCAGAGTGGATGTGGAGTTACTCTGTGGCTAATTCAGATCAACTACTAGGTTTCTTTCCTCTTGCAAACACAGGTGGGTGGCAGCTGGCCCCGTTCCCAAGTTCCAGGTTACATGGGGCAAGCGAGGGGTCCTGGAGGACTTGGACAGGTCCTTCTGCGGCCAGGGACGGACTGCAGCAGCTCAGGCACCCCCCAGCCAGCCTGGCAGCACAGGGGTGCGGGGGGGGGGCGGTCAGGGGGCAGCACAGAACACGTACAACCAAGCGAATAGAGCTGAAAATCCTTGAATTGCTGCAAAATGGAAAACTGCACCTGTCACATGACAGCTACAGGTATTTTGGGGTGACTTGGACACCTCCTCACAGGCCTTGAGTGACACCCGTCCTGAAGCTCTCCCCTGGCACCAGCAATGCTGTGTTACTGGCACAGTCTGGCACCTCAGTGCAGCACATGCTGCTCACAGCCCCACTGAGCAGGAAGGACAGAAGCCGCAGTCACAGCTGCCTCCAGCAATG